ACCACCTCTTGATTCCAATGATAGCGTGCCGGCTGTCTCCGTCATTGGAATCAGCAATTGGAGATTGGATATTAGTAAATCTAGTAGGGCATTGCTAGTTCAACGCCCATTGTTTGCCAAAAATGATCTGGTCAATACTGCGAAACATTTGCTCAGCCAAACCAAATGTTTTGATGACATGGATAGCTTCTTAAAGAAACTTGCGGATTCATATCTTCATTATATGAAGAATCAACGATTAGTCAACTTTCATGGTAAGGTTTCCAATAATACAAATATCGATGGTTTTTATTTTGTTTGATTAATTATCACGCGAATTGATCTTAATTGCAATTTCATCAGGTCTTCGAGATTATTACTTTCTTGTTAAGAGTATAAGAAGCATGTTCAAGAGTGACCAAAAGGTATACACCATTCAAACCTTTATTTATTGTGTTATATTATCGGGGTTAATTTATATACAATATATATATTTCTAGCCAAATATTCAACTAGCACTAGCTCGAAATTTCGGGGGAGCCGACAACATGGAAGAGCTGTGTACTATATATTTTCAAAATATTTTGAAACCGTCGCATACTCATGAATTTATTTACACTTCGATATCCGTAAAAAAACTTATTAATGCAAACCTTGCAGAAAAAGATTCCCGACACCTTATGCTCATAGGAAATAGCAATGCCATTGTGACTCTTCTTACATACCAGCTCCGTCAACAAAATATCGAATCGGTCGCGGTTATTGGGTCACAATTCCCTGACGATAAGGACGGCGGGAAATATTCGTACGCCACTCTTGATCGCTTAATGGTATTTGGAATCAAGAAATTTATTTATAATTTATTAATGATCAATTCCTAATTTGAAGACTTTTCAATCACGTTTCTGATAAAGATGTGCGTGGAAACAGGAAAATGCGTAATATTAACGGACCTTGAAATAATTTATGGTATGCAAATAAATACCTCGTAATTTCTCAATGTGTTTGAGAATCTTGATAAAATTTTTACACCCGTGTAGACTCTCTCTACGATTTGTTCAATCAGCATTGCATAACGGAAGAGAATTCAAGTGACGAAAACAATCAAAGGAGTTATACCAGAATTGGCAATGGTCCATACTCCAATCCTATGTTGTATGGTAGGTGTTTTTGTTTTGTTTTTTCAAAAAGGAAAAAAAAAAGCATCGTATTCTACATTCACAAAATCCATAAACCCTATCTTCCTTTCCTTAGTACATCCGAACTTTAGGTTTGTTCTCGCGTCCTATTGACATGTAAAATGGTGTTACAATCTAACTGATCCTTTCTTTTTTTTTTTAAAAAAAAAAGGTGCATTTTGGTGCTGGATGAGACAAAGTTACCGTTTGCAGATCCAACCCTCTTGAATCGCTTCGAAAAACAAAAGCTTACGCTTGAAGAAACCCTCACCGAACGTGAAGCAATAATTTTCACCCGCCTAAAAGATTGGACACATCTAATCTCATCCATTTATGAATTAAGCGACGAGGATGCCGAAAGTCACCACTTCAAAGAAGAAGACATGTTTATTGGATTTTCGTCTGAAGAGACACTGCAGAGTCTGATTATAGACCAGTGTGAAAAAAATCCAGATTCAGATGATGACACAATCATTTCTTTATGCAAGGAATCTTTAATCTCTATCGCCTCTTCAGACAGCATTATAAGGGCTGATAAATCTCTTTTGAAGCTAAGTGATGCTTTGGAAGTAAACAAATGGCAACAAGTCTACTTTCAGAATCAACGGCATGGTAATATTCGAGAATTTTTTGGTGCACTATTAAGTGATGACTCGACCGACCCTTTAACAATCATAAATACCTTCTCAAATATTAACACCGACATTAAATTATGTTTGAATGGAATTTTGAGTTGTCAGGTAGATAAATTATCAACCTTCAAGTCCGAAGCCAAACTTCAAGACCAGATTAAAAGTTTTTATGAATCCAAGAATAATTTGTACATTCTGCAATGCGATCTTTCAACTGTGAACGCGGGATGTATTCGACTAGCAAAGTTTATGATTGAGCAGTCTCAAAATGAGTTCATGAATAAGGAGGATCAACAAAATATCGACAGACCGATTAAGAGCGCATGCATAATCCTTCATTTTAGTAGAAATTTCGAAGAGAATATCGCAAATTTATTCAATTTCATGTGCGGCTGGAATCAAGTTACCATTGAGAACTTAACTGCATCAAATTCACTTTCACTATTCATTCATCCAACCGTCGGGGAAATTCCCAACGAAAATTTATCATTTGAACAGATGTTGAGTCAGGAATTGCCATGGTGTTTGCTTTGCATGAAGCATCCCCCTTCTAAGAAGTCGGTTGAGCATATAAGGTTAGCATACATATACAACATGCTGCATATATACGCTAGTGTAAATTTCATACGACGACGTGGTTTTGACTTAAATAACATTTCATCCCAGACAATTAGCTCAAGACATTCCAAAAAACGCGAGATTGGTTGAATGTTTGAAACTTCGAACCGAAGAATGGTTGCGAGCCAATTCTTCGAATCAATTGCAAAAGTCGTCAACGCATATGCGCACCTTGATTCGAAAACCGATCGCAAAGCTACTTTATATTCTTGAACGATATCATGCAATCACGTTCCTTTTTTCGTGGGATGATGATACCGATGGTCTAAATAAAAATGATTTATTTAAATTTTGGAAACAGATATTTATGAATAAAAAGATAGTAAACATCGATGATATGGTCATGGATCCTCAACCAGATTTGTACGCTGTCTCGGGTAATTACCTGAATCTCAAATTTCCATTTTCATATTATTTCATGGAACAAATAGATAAACACAAGGAACTTTACCACGGAGAACTTGATCTCATGCGCGAAGAGCCCGATAATTTAGATGAATGTGGAAATTTACGTCCGGAGGCTGTAACCCAATTTCTCGAAAAATTTTCCGAGGGCATTCGAACGACGATCGCGGCATTAACACCAACAATTTTGGCACTCGCCAGAAGTCTATATTTTGAAGATTTCATCACGGTCTCTTCTGTCAATGCAGGATATTCTAATGAATCCGACATAAAGCTATTTCAGTTTTTATTTAGTCGTTCGTGTGAGGCCGAGGTGTTTAATGACCCGATTAGATTGCACATATTCTGGTGGACAAATTCCGAGACACTTGTTTCGAAATTTAAATTGGCGCAAATGCTTCCACCGAATTCTCTCGAAGACAGTGTCTTTACTAGTAATGAACATTTTAAGAGTCATCTTATAGATCATGTTTGTAAAATGATGCTTGAAAAGATTATGAATTTAGGTGAATCTGCAGACAATGTCAAAAATATTATGAATTTAGGAGGTGAATCTGCAGACAATGTCAAAAATATTTTACAGGATTGGCAACTCCAAGTCGTCAACATTTTGTCATTGTG